TTTTTTTTTTTCCTTCTCCGCTCCCGTTTCGCTCGCGAGGCCGGAGCCCGAACTGCGGAGCTCCCAGCTGTACCCGCACGAGGAGTCCGCCGCGCACTGCCGCGATGAGGCCCCGGAAAGCCTGTCTGCTCATCCTGCTCCTGGCGCTGGCGCAGCTGCTGGCGGCCGCCGGCGCCGGGGAGCCGGGTGAAGGTGAGCGGCCCGCCTGCCAGCCGGGGCTGGCGGGGCCGGGGTGGGTGCGACCCGGGGACCGCTGGGTTCCGCGCGGAGCCCGTGGAGGGCTGGCTCCCGGCGCCGACTTGCTGGAGCTTAAGGGCAATAGCGGTGGGCAGAGTGGCTTTGGAGATCCCAGAGCGGAGGCCGGGGCCTCTCAGCAAGCCCCCTGCCACCGAGGCTCGGACGCTGAGAGGGTGCAAAGTGTTTCTTTGCAACAGGCTCCTTCGCCCAGATTCTATTCAGATTTTCTCCGGTCCAGACTGACTGCTTGTTCTTGGCAAGGGGAGCATGGTTACTGGTTAAAATTTCCAAGCGAACACTCCCAGGGAGTGTGAAGGCCCGGGGTGGGGGGGTCACTGCTTTCAGAACAGGTCTTGGAGAAGGGGCGAGGGCGTGGAGACCAAGTGGGGGCGTCCCAGGGCATCCACGGGCAGCACGCATTTCGCTTTTTAAAAATGTGGTTTGTACCTGAGAGTTTAAAGGGAGAGGCTGGCTTGCTTGCTTCTTCAGGAGCAGAGGAGAGAGACGGCCCTGGACTGCAGTTTCTAAGCAATAAATAGACGAGTTTTAAACTTTAGAAATAAAAAAATAAAAATAAAAGTGGTTTGTAGATTTGGAAATAATCAATGAATTCTGGTTTGAGGGAGAACGGGAAAACTTGGTTTACATCTGTTAGAAACCAGAGATCCCGTTCCTTCTGCGAGCATTTAATTCAGCACCTACTATAGCAGTCACCGTGCTGGCTTCTGGGAGGATAGGATGAACGTGGGTCCGGCCCATAAAGCTCCTGCGCTAGTGGGAACATTAGCTCCTAGTCATTGTTCTTACATTTTTCTTTGCTATCAGCTAACGGAAAGCAAACGGCAGAAGAGAACTTTGGAAATTAGAACTAGTCAAGAAAAGAATCCTGTACCCAGAGAACGGTCATCTCATTGCTGCTCTTAGCCTCTTGCTCTCTGGCCTTTTTCCAGAGGATGATTTTTTTTTCCCCAGCGAGTTTGTTACAATATAAATAAACCCTCTTTTCTAATACCAGTATGTAAGGGAAGTGTGAACTTTATACTCTTTCAAACAGATTTGAGTAACTTCTGTGTGGGTCACTGATCCAAGTCTTTACCCAAATAGGAAGTAAAAAGCAGCACTTGTTGAAAAAAACACCTGCAGAAGGAACTAGATAGCAGGGTGGCCTTCAGGTGTGGCTTGGGACCTTTATCCAAATCACCTGGCACTTATTTAAATACAGAGTCCCAAAATACACTGAAACAATGCAGGTGGGCCCTTGAGTCTGCGTTTTAAACTTGTTCTTCATTGATTTATAGGTGGAATAAACTTTGGGAGGCACGTTAAAGTTTGACGACCACTGGGTGGAGGGTAATTGTCAGAATATAGCTAATGGTAGAATAGCTTGTCCTGGTCCTCATCCAGTGACTCTGTTTTGGTGGACTTCAGGGGTTGTTAGGACCGGTGGGTTATCCTTGGTGTCACAGGTCACTCGTGCTGGGGAGGCCTGGGGTGCAGTTCCCTCTGAGGCAAGCCCAGGGACCTCTGCGGTGATCATGGCCGCCGCAGGTCTCCCAGGGCCTGTCTTTTCGGGGTCGGGTGCCACTTCTGGTCCTTATCCTGTCTCTTCCCGATCATGAGGGCGTCCCTGGCCTTTTACTTTGAATGCCTATCACAGATAACTTACCCACACTTCCCTCCACCCCCGGATTTTCCAAGTCTATTTTTTTTTTTTTAGTTTGGTTGGTTGTTTTTGCCTCTTACATTTCAGATTCAGAGAGCCCAGTGGTGTCTGGGCCCCTAAAGGGCCCTAAGAATATGTGCCTAAATAGAGCTTCAGCCCTAATGGTAAAAGTCTCGGGGTGCTGGACTTTCCATGTCTCAGATTAGAAATCACTACTCTTCACACCTTTCCAGCTAAAATAGTGAAGGAAAATATTTTGATGGTGGTGGTTGAAGCTGCTTTTATTTGGGATTGGTTTACGTTTGGAAGTAAGTGGATGTTCCGTGTGTAAGGAACTGCTCTGCCTCTTGCTTTTCATTCCCAAGATTCCACCGAAAACTGGTCAAATTGGGAGGAAAATCTGATGCGACAATACAGCATAGCAGTTAAGTGGTCAGGAACCTACACTGAGTAGCGTTGTGATCCTTGCACAGGTGACTAATGTCTCTGGGCCTCAGTTTCTTCATGTGTAAAGTGCACGTAGTATGGTTTCCCTCAAGGGGTGAGAGGATGTGTTTTAGAGCTCAGAGTGCCTGGCACATAGTATCAGCTGTAATGATCTATTTTCTATTGAATTTCTCTTCTTCCAGGTTTAATATAAACTATTCAATATTGATCTAATGGTAGAGTTTATCCAACTGTAAGAGAGACTTCTCTGGTGGGGATTGGGAAAGTGACCAGCTGAGGGCACAGAGTGAGGACATCCTGAAAGGGGCTGCCTGCGGTCCAGGCTGGGCAGGGATCCAGTGCTGTCATCAGATGCACTGTTGACAGTGGGCAGGGACTGCAGAGACACCCCTTTTCAGGAATGGCCCTACCTAATGGGCTAAGCAATGTGGTGCTGGAGCTAATGGGCTAAGCAGAAGGTGCTGGAAGGCTTTGGATGTGTTTTGTATCCTGGAATGTCCAGCCTTAAAAGTGAAGCCCAGTGAAAAATAGTCTTCCCATTAAAATTCAGATGTCTTCCTCGGGAATGTGTGGGTTTCGGGTAGGTAGGAATGCAGTCAGCATCTTCTCAGATTGCGGAGGAATCAGCACTGAGGCTGTCTGCAAGTCAGGCAGGGATGGAAAGGTGGGGTCCTTAGTGCAGGTGCAGTTGAGAGTTCTTAATTGTAGGCTGTGTGGTATTTCCTTTGTTATCCTTTAAAACAATATAATGAAAGTCATTATTTTTAAAGGATCAGGAATGAGTTCACCCTTCAGAACTCTGTCCCGTGGTGACTCGTGGACAGCAGTTTAATCCAGAGAGCCCATCACAGGTAGTGCTCACAGACCACTTCAGGCTGAGCATAGGTACAGCGGCCTCTTTGCTTCTCATTTTTGTAAAACCCACCTTACCCCTGTGCTTTGAGCAGATTTCCCAGTCCCTCTTCTCCCCTCGCTGTGCTTCCTGCTGGAAGAGCCTATTGAGTTCCCAGTGTTTTCTTTCAATCTTCCTCCGATCTTACCATCTACCTGCAAGTAAATTCGATTCTCAGACTGAGCAGAGCAGTGTGGCAGTGAGTGTGGGTTCACGGCTCATGAGCCCTGCCTAACTGCACGCAGCAGGCTGTCCCGCCTGGGTGAGCATCCAGATCCGGGCCGGGCCGTGTGCTCCCTCCTGGGCCCCCGAGCTGGAGCAGAGAGCCTGCGGAACATCCCTGCAGCGTGCCCCCAGGTTTGCAGCCCTCATGCAGGCCATTGGGTAGGACTTTGAAGTACAGGGCGGTCAGACTAGCCCTTTGGAAAGTGACTTGTGTCCCACAGGCCAGCACAGGTGCTCAGTACTTGCCATGCAGAGTTGTTGTGGCGGGATTCCTGGAAGTACCTGGAACCTCTGGCTAGCCATTGTTAAACTGGGAGGTTCTCAAGAGCATTAGGTGCTCAGATGCAGAACTATCTGGGTGTGTAGTGTTGGCTGCCAGTCACCAGTGAAAGGGGGTTCAGTGTGATGAGTTTAAAACAAGGTTCGGTCACCAGCCCAAGAGGTGGAGATAGGGCTTGAGCCTGGGCTTTCTCCCCAAGCATCCTATGCCACCTGATGACAGTGCTGGGGGCCTGGGGCCTCTGCAGGTCTGTCCACCCCACTGAGTTCCTGCTGCTGAGGAGGGACGTGGGGAGGTGGCTGGGGAGGCATGGGGGTGGGGAACTGGACCCAGAGTGCATGAGTGGGCAGGGAGGGAGCTTAGTGTGTGTACCCAGATTATTTCTCCCTCCCCCCACACAGGTGGGGGGAACTTACACCGGATGTTGGAGAGAGGAATGTGAAGCGGGGGGAGATGCGTCAAGGGACAAGGTAGAAGATACTGTGCTCAGTGGGGTGGGCTTTGGTTTGCTTTTTGTAATTAGTTTGCAGGTGGGCAGATTTTAGACAATGAACAAAGCTGCTGCCCCACCCAGACCAGTTCCCTGGCTTGTCTGAGCAGCCTGCGAGCCAGCTGTGCCTTAGTTAGGGGCGGGGCTGAGATGGGCAAGTCCCTGAGGTTCCGGGATCCCCAGGGCAGATTTTCAAGCCCTGACCTCACCTTCCTTCCCCAAAACTGTGTTGCTCTATCTCCTGGGAAGCATCTCCAAAAGGAAGAATTGGTCCCTTGAAACACGCTGATTCGGGGTTGGTGAGAAAGCTTGCCGTGCTTGCTTCCATCTGCCAGTGTGGCAGCAACTGGAGGACCTGGTTAAGAAGAACCACAGTCCCACTATTTGTTGTCTCTGTAGTTTGGCAAAAATATTTAGTTAAACCTTGGTAATAAGATGTACTCAGCTTCTTATGTTCTGTAAAGAGAACTTTGCTTCCAGACAGGGCATCCTGTGAAGGCGTGATTTGTTGTGTATTTTTGTTGCATGTTGACTCCACAAACTCCTAAAACAACCCCTACCCTGGAGATTGCTCTGGGGTGGCTTTGTATGTAAAATATAACTCCCTATCCTCTTCACACTTCAACCTGTCTCTGAAGGATTATAAAACCTATGGCGCTATTTTTTTATGTGCATAACGTAAAATGCCAACCCCTTTCAGAAATGGAATTAGTATTCTGTCCCCCAGAAGGCCAAGTTGAGAACAAGTACTTGTTTCCTGTTACACTGTTTTGGGGGCCAGGCAGCCATCAGTTCAGGGGAGATTGAATGCACCCCTGCCCGTGGAAAACTTAGGGTGGAGAGAGGAAGCATTTTTGGTGCAACTTAGCCTTGCCCTGGCTAAGGGGTAACTGTAAGTGGGGTGCCCTACAGTGCAAAGTACGGGATGTGGGCAGAGGAGCCTGGCTGCAGTGCTGAAGGCCTGGAACGGCTGCAGGGGGCTGGTGCTGAGCACATCTGCCTGAGAGGTCACATCTCAGTGTGGAGAGGAGGGGGCTGCCCAGGCAGGAGGCATGCAGAGCAGGGCTGGAGCAGCTGGTGGTCCTGGCCTCCAAGTCTTGCTGGGGTGTTAAGACTTTAAATATTCTACACCTGTGGTTTTTAAACATCTTTTAACCATGACCTCCCTTTAAATGAAGTCCAGAGAGGCTACCCAGTAAGCAGACTTGGAGGGGAATTTCTGGGGTGGGGGAGGCCTCATGTCACCATCCCTGCCTGTAGTGGCTCCCAGGGACTCATGATGCACTTTTAAGGGTTTGGGCTTCTGGGAAAGTTTTTAAGGAGGAGAGTCACCAGTTTCCTAACCAGTCTGGGTATTTTCTGCTCAGATTCTTCTAACAAAGAAGATGCCATTGAGGAGGAAGAGGAGGAGGAGGAGGAGGAGGAGGATGACTTAGAAGTTAAAGATGAAAACGGTGTCCTAGTCCTAAATGATGCAAACTTTGATAATTTTGTGGCTGACAGAGACACAGTGCTGCTGGAGTTTTATGCTCCGTGGTAAGGACGGTGGTTCTTTCAGTTCTGCCAGGGTGGAGGAGGGGCTCCTCTGGGCTCACGCCTGAGCCCTCCCAGGCATCCAGACGCCGGTCGGCGGGAGTGTCCCGGGGCAGGAACTCGAGCCCTAGGTTCAGGAATGGCAGGAGCTCAGCATTCTGCTGATTGGCATCAGGCATCCAAGGAGCCAGCCCTACAGAACGCAGCTCTGCACGCAGTTTTAAAGAACGAGTATGTCCTCTGATAGTTACCGCTGGGGGTGAAGTGTTTAACAAGCTGTGATGACAGAGAGACTTGTGCTGGTGACAAACGTGTCCCTCGTTACAGATTCCTCCCCTGACCTGTCTCAAAGCCATCATACCTCCCTCCTCCTGCCAGTAGTTGGGCCTGCTGCCCCAAGTGCAGGCCTGGGGTCTCAGTAAGGAAGGCACAGGCCCCCAGGCAGCAGCCAGGCCCCATCCTTCTCCTCTGCACCCTCACGGTGCAGTGCGTTAGGACTGTTCCTCCCCTCCCCTCCCGCTGGGTGTCATCTCACCCCTTTTCTTTCCTCTTTCCCCAGCCCTGCTTAGTTTGCTTTAGAGACAGAAGAGTCAAGGTGCACTTATATTTTTCTCTGTGCCTGATATTCTGGCCTAGCAGGAGGAGTTTTACATAAAATATCTAAGTAGTCCTTTGAATAGGTCTGTGGGGTTACAAATCTACTTTATAGGTCAGTTCTCAAACTTTTTGGTCTTGGGACCCTTTAATACTTTAAAATTGAAGTCCCCGAATAGCCTTTTCTGTGGTTCATGGTTATCAGGATTTACCATATTAGAAAGCAAGACCGAGGGATTTAAAAAATATGAATTCCTCTTTAACAATAGTCCATTACATGATAACAGAACGCTGACATCAGTTCTGTGGCAACTGGAAAATTCCACTGTACACATCTCAGAGAATGAGTGAAAAAGCAAAAGGTCTTCTGTAAAGAGTTTTCATCTCACAGACCTCTTGAAAATGGTCCCCAGACCAAACTTACAGATGAAAAATACATCAGGGGTTTAGAGATGTTGAAAATATGTGCCCAAGGCAGGGCTGGGATTCAAACCTGATCTGTTTGACCTACAGCTGCCTTGGCTTCCCCCATGTTAGTATGTCTCTCTTAACTGTGAAATTTCCAGTCCTGATGCCCTTAATTTTGTGGCATTGCTGGATTTAATTCCCCGTGGGCATAGCTCACCTGCTTCTCTTCCCCTAAATCTGACTTCTAGGTGTGGACACTGCAAGCAGTTCGCTTCAGAATATGAGAAAATTGCTGGTGCCTTGAAGGAGAATGACCCTCCCATTCCTGTCGCTAAGATCGATGCGACCTCAGAGTCAGCGCTGGCCAGCAGGTTTGATGTGAGTGGCTACCCTACCATCAAGATCCTTAAGAAGGGGCAGGCTGTCGACTACGAGGGCTCCAGGACCCAGGAAGGTGAGCAGCGTCTGGGCTGTAGGAGGAAGGCAGAAAGGGAGAGGAGGGGGAGTTTGGAAAATAGAGAGGAAGACAAGGTGGCTGGACTGGGAGTGACCCCGAGGAGGAGATGACAAACAGCCTTTCCACCCTGAGCTGGCTCTCCAGCTCCCCTCCTAGAAGGCAGCTAGCGTGACAGGTCTCCCTTGTGTCTCTCAGAGATCCTTTGAAGACATAAAAGCAAACATGTCTGTGTGTATGGTATTTACAGTTGTCGGCAAATCTTAAACACCATTTGCAACTTGGTGTTTTTATTTAACAAATAATGTCAACTTACCAGTCCATGAGGTACTCAATCTAAAACGGGCTGTAAGTGGTATACTTTATTGTGTAAAAGTCAATAGGCTCGTATATTTGGAGGTCTATGCACAGCCTTCAACTGCTAGGTGTGTGGCTCAGTTTGGAATCGTGAGAGCAGTGCTTGTCCAAGTGGGGTTCTTGGGCTGCCAGCCTCTGGTGTGAAAGTGGATGGGCCTCCCCAACGCTAACTAACTCGGGCCTCAGGTGTGGGTGGGGACAGGTGGTTGGTGTTGCAGGGGTGCCGTGCCCATGCTGCAGTGTGCGCCTCACTCTGAAAGCACGTGCTTCGCAGGTGTCATTCTCAGACCTGGCTGCTTGTTGGATTCCACAGCAAAAACAAGAAAGAAACTTAAATGTTTGCCACCACTCTGAGAACCACTAGGAAAGTGCTTTATGAGACTGTTCTGGGCCCCATTCCCGCCATTGAATCCATCTCTGGGGAGGGAGGCCACAAAAGAACCTTCTGGTTTATAACAGCTTCCCAGGTGATGCAGTGCACCTGAGCAGTGGGAAGAGGTGCCGCCTCTTCATTTTCTCAATTTTGCATACACGTTGTGACACGTAATGTTCTAGTTCTGGATGCATATGACCAAATACATGTATATTTGTACGTGCTGAGGGGATGCCCCAAAGCTAGCAGTGGGCACCTGTGGTCAGAGACCCTGAGAGGTGAGCCCCTGGGTGTCGCCTCCAGTTAGTCTGCAGTTGGAGCAGTGGAGCCATTCAGCAGGTTTCTCCAACAGCTGAGACCAGTCTGCAGAGAAGGTGACAGGTGGCTTTTGGGAACAGTGACTCTTAACTGTGGCCTCAGAACTGCCGAGTGGCACTGGCAGGAGATGAAGTTGGATTCTGGGGAATCATATTTCCTGTTCTTGTAGCACCCACTTTCTGTCTTCCCCCCACCTGCCTCGAGCGAGGTGAAGAACCTGCAGGCCTGGGGGCTGCCTGTGTTCAGTCTTGCTTGGTTTCTTTCAGAAATTGTTGCCAAGGTCAAAGAGATCTCCCAGCCCAACTGGACACCTCCACCCGAAGTCACACTTGTGCTGACCAGAGACAACTTCGATGAGGTGGTGAATGATGCAGACATCATTCTGGTGGAGTTTTATGCCCCATGGTAAGATGCTGTTGATCTCATCTCAGTTAGCTCTGTCCCATATTAATACCCTGCTGGGTACTGGGTGGGGTGTCAGAGATGAACCACTGCACATGAGGTCCCAAGAACAAGTGGGCATGAGTCCCCACTGTGCACACAGGGTGAGGTGGGGCTGCGGATCATTCCAGACTATTTTCCCCAGGGAACAGAATGAGGCTGAATGGAACGTGGAGGAGAGGGAAGCACAGGTGGTCTACACAAAGGGGGACCGCTGGGCCATCCAGGCCCTGGAGGCTGGAGGACATAGCTGTGCACCAGCCTTGTGCCTGCAGAATCCCATGGTTGCCACTTCACACCGTCCTGCCCGTGCCAGGGACGTGCCCAGGGAAGTGTCAAAGCACTTTGACAGCTGTGGCTCTAGGCAGTGGGAGGTGACACTTTCACATCCATAGGAGGCGTGGAAATGCCATTTATAGAAGTTCATCTGGCTGTAATAAAGGAGAAAAGAGCAGAGTGTCCCAGGAGTGGGTGGGTGGTGACAGCCAGTGGCCTTGCACTGCTTGTCCCAGACTTGACCATCTAAGCCTTGCTGCCTGCTTCCTGTGGGTTTGAACCATGGTTTTATCTGTCTTCATTTCTGCTTATGGCTGTTATGGAATAAATCTCAAAAGATGCCCCTTGGCCTTGTTTCACATTTGAGATGTGTCCCTTCCTCATGCCACAGCCTCAGGGTTCCCCAGCTTCCCTGCCGCCCGTCCCCTCCACTCAGTTTGTGATACCTGACAAGTGCAGGTGTCATAGTCAGTTCTGGCAGCCGGACAGTTGGCGATAACACAGCTCAGAGTGATCGGAGCGGGATCTGCAGAGCAGGAATCGGGTGTGGAGGACCAGGGGAAAGAAGGTGCCAGAAAGAAAGGCAGTGAGAGAGTGTCTGACAGTCTGGTGCTGGCTTGTGGAGGAGGCACTGTTATCCTGCCCTGTGAAGAGGGGAGGGAGTAGACAGCGCGAATCAGCAAAGACTGTTTCCAGGGCAGATGTTCATGTAGCGCTGGAGGTGCGGGAGGGCTGTCAGCCTTCCCAAGGGCCAAGGACCAGCCGAGGTACCGTTTATCCTGGCGAATTCATCACAGGTCAGAAGTGGTTCTAATTCCTGAGCAGGCTCGGTGTTTGTCAGGAATGTGGCTGTGGGGCCCGATAAGAGTGACCTCCAATGGGTGTGTCCTGTGGACAAAGCCCCAAGGCACTGGATTCTGCAGCAGAAGACACTGCACTTAGCCACTGTTGGGGCGCATGCAAAGGGGGCTCTGATGGACGGCAGGAGAAGGAAGGAAGCGGGGCACAGGTGGGCTGGCAGCGCTCCCGGAGGCCTGTGCTGTTGTTGCTCCAAAGGAGCCTCCCGTGTGGGTGGGAGGCGTTGGAGGAAGAATGTCAGCCCAGCGATGTCGTGTGGTGATGTCGCTTGGTGATCGGTTCCTATGTGGATTCTAAGTTCATGGTTGCCCAGAACCGGGTTCAGCAAACTACTCCTTGACGTCATGTGAGTAGTAAATGCTTAGTGGAGATACGTCTTGTTTCTAATGCTTCAGGTGACTACAGTCCTTTTACCTGCAGATAGTTTTACATGCCACAGGATTGGGCCAGTAGCTCACCTGGGTGTCCTGAGAACCTTGACAAGATTGTTTCATTTTAGCTCAATACTAAGGGCCTATTAATATTATTAGTACCCTTGGGAGGCCCTGTCCAGGTGTCACCCCTCAGTTCTTACTGCGTGTAGACAGAGGCTTTTAAAAATTGTCTCAATTCTGACTTTCCTTGACTCACACCTGCCTTACCCCGCCCTGTGTGGTTGGTGTTGGGGTGGGTTTGTTACATTGTTCCTCTGTTCACTGTCCCTCCCCAGACCTCACCTTTGATGGGCTTGTCTCCACTTTCAGCCCATCCTTAATGCCCCAGATCAGCTGCCGTGTCCGGTATGAAGCGATCCCTGACTTATGTCCTTACCTGTCCCAACTCCCCAACCAAGAAAATCTCCCTTCTGGGGGCAGGGCGTGCCTCGGCCTTCCCCACGTGGTACCCCATGCCCCAGTTACCCTCCTGTCTGTGTCTGTGTGGGTGTCCCCGGCGTGTGAGGGCGTGTGAGTGCCCCTGTGGCAGCTCTGCCTCTGGCCTCTGGGAGGAGCCCAGCGTGGTGCCCTCACCTCGGAGACACTGGGGTTTGCCAGCTCTCATGGCTGCCCAGGAGCCCTGGGTTGGATCTGTGCGCTCCCTGAGCTGGAGGCTGTGTCCCTGCGGGTTGGATCTGTGCGCTCCCTGAGCTGGAGGCTGTGTCCCCGTGGGAACAGACTCCGCAGACTGGGTCCTTCTGCAGGTGTGGACACTGCAAGAAATTGGCCCCTGAGTATGAGAAGGCCGCCAAGGACCTGAGCAAGCGTGTCCCACCGATCCCCTTGGCAAAGGTCGACGCCATCGCGGAAACAGACTTGGCCAAGAGGTTCGAGGTCTCTGGCTATCCCACCTTGAAAATCTTCCGCAAGGGGAAGCCTTTTGATTACAATGGCCCACGGGAAAAATATGGTATGGCCACTTCCCAATCCTGCCTTAGTAGAGAGGGAACTCCCTGGTGGGTGTAGGCTGTCGGCCGAGTGCCCTGGACTCCCCATTCCCTCCTCAGGCATGTGTTCTGCCCCCAGGGATCATGGACTACATGATCGAGCAGTCAGGGCCACCCTCCAAGGAGATTCTGGCCCTGAAGCAGGTCCAGGAGTTCCTGAAGGACGGAGATGATGTCATCATCATTGGGGTCTTTAAGGCAGAGAGTGACCCAGCCTACCAGCTGTACCAGGATGCTGGTAAGTGGTGGTCCTCTGGGCTGGGCAAGATGCATGTGCCCGGCCCTCCGAGGTTACTGGGGAGTCCGCTGCTTTTGCATAAAACTGGGGTATCGATTTAGGGGGTGACTTGATGGAAGAACCGAGATAGCATCTGTGGGAATAGGCTTTCCTTCCTGGGGTTAGGTTGGAGGTTTGTTCCAGGATGCCTCGATCCCACATGGATGATAGGATCTGGTACTCAGTGGATGGCTGTGCCACCTCCCTCCTGGACTGAGAGGAGGGAAGGGGCAGAGTCAAGTTCATCCAAGTTCACGGTCTACCTCCCTCTCCTCCCAGGAGCCCCTTCCCAGAGCTCCTCTGCAAGGGGCAGGGCCTTGTCCAGGGAATAAGGGTTTCTGAGTCAGACCCAGGTTCTAGTCCTGGCTCTGCTAGTTAGCCTCGCGGTCACAGGCGGTGACTTGATCAGCTTTTACTCTCACATTCAACCTGGTCTGTTTTACTTCAGGGGGTTATGCGAATTGCGATAATGTAGACGGGCCAGAGTACTAGTCTAGTTAGTCTGAGAAGTTAAATTACTATGACCAGCTGTCAGTTACAGTGTTCTGTGGGGGCAGGTGGCAGTTGCCCCATCTTAAATCCATTGTCTGGCTCTTGCTTGGAGGCAGGGTCCTTGCCCTCCTGGACGGCCCCTAGGTTAGAATGAAGGTGGTGTTTTTATGGATGTTCAGGGCCCTCTCCATCCATATCCTTTCCCCTTGCATGCCCTCTACCTGCACCCCCACTCACACACTGAACATGCTTGGCTTTGGACTTTAAAGTAGTAATTACAATCTTAAGTGCACTGCTTGCCACTTACATTAATTTCTGAGCTGTGAGAGAACAATTTTACAAATGTGGAGATTGATGTTGTAAAACTTAGAACAGAGCTAAATTTGCTGCCTGTGCAGAGCTGAGGTGCTTCCTTAGTCCTACTGATTAAGCAACCTTGTCATCTCCTGGGAATGAGTCAGAAACTTGTGGAGGGAACTGTCACCCTGGTGGAACTGCCTGAGCCACCCTCCAGCCACCACACTTCAGCTGCGACACGCAGCTTGGTCTGGTCAGGTCGGGCTGCCGGGGGTGAGAGTTACTGGGCCCATTCCCTGTGCCCCGTGTGGGAGGAGCAAGGCTGTCTGTGCGGAGGCTGCTGGGGCAAGAGCAGAAGGGAGGCTGATGGGAGGGAGCGGTCTGTGAACTTGGGGTGGGCAGCAGAGCTCTCAGGTGATCTGTGTCTCTGCCCACGGCCACCTGATGACACGGACCTGGGGGCTCGGGACGGGGCAGGAGACTGTGCACCAAGTACCTTCCAGTGGGCTGCCTTCAGTAAACGTCACAGTGGTCTGCAAGGCTGGCTTCCATGCTTCTGCAGGGAAAGGACTGAGGCTCGCGGGGGGGGGATGGCTGACCTGCCTGAAGTCACACGACTAGTGGGTCGCAAGATTATGATTGGAATCTAAGTCTGTCCAATTCCGGAAGCGATAAGTTGCTCTAGGCCGCCCCGGGGTGTCAGGTGTGGGAGCGTGGGATGCTCACCGGTTCTCCTGGCTGGTGACCTCCCGGGTAACGTGCTTCTCAGCGTTGGGGACTGCAGTCAACCTCACTTCCTGACAAATTAGTTCTCAGGTTTTCTGTGAACGGTCAAGTTTTGTTTGTTCACAAATTCCAGTATAGAGGTTTTAAGGTATTGCACCTACACCAAGTTTTAATCTCTGGGTATTGGTCACAGAGAATTCACCATGGTAATTACACTGTTTTCAGGGTGTTAGCTTTAGCTGTAAGCGGTGACATAAATGAGTATTTATCATTCTGTTAATTTCTCAGCTAACAACCTGAGAGAAGATTACAAATTGTACCACACTTTCAGCACGGAAATAGCAAAGTTCTTGAAGGTCTCTCTGGGAAAGTTGATTGTAATGCAGCCTGAGAAATTCCAATCCAAGTATGAGCCCAGGAGCAACGTGATGGACATCCAGGTGAGTGGAGGTCCCTCGTCCTGCCGCTCCGATAGCCCCGCTCAGGTGCCAGCCCCTGGGTGTTGGTGTGGCATGAGGACTCTGATTGAGCCGCTGCTGGGGATTTGAAGTGTGGAGGTTTCTTTCCATGCTGCTGACACGTAGGGTATGGAGCGCCTTTCCCAGCCCCTCTCCCTGCCCCACAGTAAAGGCACAGGTTCCTGGAAGGCTGAGGCTGGGAGCACAGCCAGCTGGGCATCTTGTAGTTTTTAGAGGGACCGGGGGCTCTCACATGACTGGCGCCCCTGGCACTGCTCCACCTGCTTTGGCCAGTGCCGCTCCCTGTCATCGTACCCCTAGCAGGCCAGCACTGGCCTCTTGGCACCTGCCTGCTGGGGGGGTCTGGCCTGTGTATAGGGCTCACTCCTGGCCAGATGTGCTGCTGGGTCTGTGCCCAGCCTCACTTGCTGACAGGTGGCTGGGGCCTGAGGACTGCAAAGTGTTGGTAGGCCTGTGTCCACCAGGGAGCTGTCGAGCATGGCATGTGAATTTGCCTTCCTTTCTTCCTCCTAGGCACGTCCCCCCATATTCCTAAAAGGAGTGACACACTCATCTCTAGACGGGCAGAGGGTGAGCCTGGGTACAGCTCACTGTCCGAGTGCTGCCCAGGGGCCCTGTGCTTCAGTGAACAGGCCTTCCATTTTAGAAGGAACCTGAGATCTTCAAGTCAAAGCTGTCTTTGAGAGAAAGAGGCTGGGGTGCAGAGAAGAGGTCCGTCTCACCCAGGGCCCCAGTTAGAGGAGCAGACCTAGCAGGAAATGGGGGTCTCCTTGTTCTCAGGCCAGAGCCAGCCCCATGGGGCCCTGACCCTCGCTTTTTGGCCTGGGCTGGCATGGTGGGCAGTGTGGGGTGAGCTTGGATGCCTCTGTGTGCACTGCAGGGAGCTGTGGTGCCCTTTGTGATGTGGTTTTGTGAGCTGAGCACATGGTGGGGCCTTGGAAATGCTGCCCCAGATCTTCCTGACTTCCTGGGTCTTGAGCCCATCTTGGAGTCTCCATCTCCGAGACTCATGTGCTCCCTGTCTGCTCAGGCCTCCCCCCTTCTCTGGATGTGCGGTGGCTGCCCCATCTCCTCGCCTCTAGCTTCTCTGCTTTTCATCTAGAGGTACTGACCCTTGGGCCAAAGATATGTCCTAATGGGCCTGTGGCTGTGGACCATGGAATCGGGCACAGTTCTGTGCAGTGTGCATGGTCCCCGGAGAGGGGTCTGTAGCTTTCAGTAGATTCTTTTTTCCTTTTTTTATCAAGGTATCATTGATAGACGCTCTTGTGAAGGTTTCACAAGAAAAACGTGGTTACTACATTCACCCTTACTCTCGAGTCCCCCCACACCCCATTGCAGTCACTGTCTATCAGTGTAGTAAGATACCAGACTCACTACTTGTCTTCTCTGTGCTACACTGTCTTCCCCATGACCCCACACGCAACATGTGCACTGATCATGGTACCCCTCAGTCCCCTTCTCCCTGCCTCCCAACCCACCCTCCCCCACCCCTCCCCTTTGGTAACCGCTTGTCCCTTCTCGGAGTCTGTGAGTCTGCTGCTATTTTCCTTCAGTTTTCGTTATACTTCACAAATGAGGTAAATCATTTGGTACTTGTCTTTTTCTGCCTGGCTTATTTCACTGAGCATGATACTTGCTAGCTACATCCATGTTGTTGCAAATGGTAGGATTTGTTTCTTTCTTATGGCTGAGTAGTATTCCATTGTGTATGTGTACCACCTCTTCTTTATTCCTCTACTGATGGACACTTAGGTTGCTTCCATATCTTGGCTATTGTAAATAGTGCTGCAATAAACATAAGGGTGCATATGTATTTTTGAATCTGAGAATTTGTTTTCTTTGGGTAGATTATCCTAGGAGTGGAATTCCCAGGTCAAATGGTGTTTCTATTTTTAGTTTTTTGAGGAATGTCCATATTGCTTTCCACAATGGTTGAACTAGTTTACATTCCCACCAGCAGTGTAGGAGGGCTCCCCTTTCTCTGCAATCTCGCCAGCATTTGTTGTTCCTTGTCTTTTGGATGGTGGTGATCCTTACTGGTGTGAGGTGATATCTCATTGTGGTTTTAATTTTCATTTCTCTGATGATTTGTGATGTGGAGCATCTTTTAATGTGTCTGTTGGCCATCTGAATTTCTTTGGAGAAGTGTCTCTTCAGATCCTCTGCCCGTTTTTTAATCAGGTTATTTGCTTTTTGGGTGTTGAGACGTGTGAGTTCTTTATGTATTTTGGATGTTAACCCCTTGTTGGATATGTTGTTTACAAATATATTCTCCCATACTGTAGGATGCCTTTTTGTTCTGCTGATGGTGTCCTTTGCTATACAGAAGATTTTTAGCTTGATGTAGTCTGATTTGTTCATTTTTGCTTTTGTTTCTCTTACCTGAGGAGATGCATTCAGGAAAAAGTTGCTCATGTTTATATTCAAGAGAGTTTTGCTTATGTTTTCTTATAAGAGTTTTATGGTTTCATGACTTACATTCAGGTCTTTGATCAGTTCGAGTTTATTTTTGGGGTTAGACAATAATCCAGTTTCATTCTCTTGCATGTAGCTGTCCAGTTTTGCCAACACCATTTGTTGAAGAGGCTGTCATTTCCCCATGGTATGTCCATGGTTCCTTTATTGTATATTAATTGACCATGTATGCTTGGGTTTATATCTGGGCTCTCTAGTCTGTTCCACTGGCTATGGGTCTGTTCTTGTGCCAGTACCAAATTGTCTTGATTAGTGTGGCTTTGTAGTAGAGCTTGAAGTTGGGGAGTGTAATCCCCCCAGCTTTATTCCTTCTCAGGATTGCTTTGGCTATTCGGGGTCTTGTGGTTCCATATGAATTTTAGAATGATTTTCTCTAGTTCGTTAAAGGGTTCACTGGAGGAAAGGAGCCTCAAAAGACAGCAGGGACTTACTGGGGTGCACCAGGGAGAGAGGACAAGCCCAGAGCATCTCCCCTTCAAACGGCTCTCCCAGGCCACCGCTTCATTTACCCATTGCAGTGGTGGCAAAGGTGGGGTATTACATAAGCCTGTGTTTGCCTGCCCCTCACCTGTTCCCCCTTTTTGCAGGATTCCACGCAGGGGTTGGCCATCAAGGACTACGTGTTGAAACACACCCTGCCTCTCGTGGGTCACCGCAAGACCTCCAATGACGCCAAGCGGTACACGCGGCGCCCTCTGGTGGTCGTCTACTACAGTGTGGACTTCAGCTTTGACTACAGAGCTGGTGAGGGACTCCAGGGCTGGCCTGCCTGCGGGTGGGCACTGGGCACCCTGCCCTCAGGCCCTTGCGGGTTGTTGGTTGGGGTCTGTTTTCTATTTATGGCTTCCAGGAGTTTGCCCTCTGTGCCATGTAGCTACCATTTTCCCTTCCTTTTCTGGCAGGAAGGGAGCTTAGTGTAGATCAAGAGCTGCCTTAGAGATGTGGGCTCGAGACCTGGGGCCTCGCAGAGCTCAGACTAGACCAGCTCAACTCCCAGGCAGCCGGGGCCTGCGTCGGTGGCCTGGGGCTTTCCACCAGGCCTGCCTGCGCTTGAGGCTGCTCTTTCAGCAATGCCGCCCTCTCTGACGGGGGCTTGTCAAACTACCACGGGGCTTTTGGGGACTGTCAGGCTGCCTGTCTGTGCAGTGCTCAGCCCTCATTCCCATGTCAGCCACTCAGTTCTGGCGGAACAAGGTCCTGGAGGTGGCCAAGGACTTCCCTGAGTACACCTTTGCCGTGGCTGACGAGGATGACTTTGCAACGGAGGTGAAGGACCTGGGGCTCAGCGAGAGCGGGGAGGACGTCAACGCAGCCATCCTGGACGAGAGTGGGCGGAAGTTCGCCATGGAGCCGGATGAGTTTGACTCGGACGCCCTCCGCGAGTTCGTCACCGCCTTCAAGAAAGGTGAGCCGAAGCTGGGCCTTCCCTCCGCGCTGGCTCTGCTGCCTCCGCCCTCGCCTTTGGGGCCTCGTCATTCCCCTCACTTGTCCTCAGGAGCCTGGACCTGAGAGGAGCATAGAGACGAGAAATCCTCGTTCTTTCACTTTTTCCCTTTTCCTTCCCCTTTCCTTCCCCTTTCCTTCTGTGTAAAACTTGCTTTGAGGCTTTAAATGAAGTGTCTTTGTGCATCTGGTTGAGCACAATGCCCTGTGTCCAGCCCTGGCCGGGAGACCCTTGCTCCACTGGCTGCCAGTCTCCTGGTGTTCCTCCCCAGCCCTGGGTGCTGGCTCTCCTGGGAACCCCTCTGCACTGAGCAGCATCTCATCTGGACAGCACCCTGTGGCCCTTAGGCCTGGGGTGGGACCCCCTGCACCCACTCTGGCGTTTGCGGGGACTGGGAAGTAGATGTGAGGAAACCGGAAGTAAGCGGGTGGGCTTCTGGAGACAAGGCCTGCATGGCCCTGCAGCCTGGACTCACCCCATCCTTCTGCACGCCAGCCCCCTCAGAGCCACCAGGGCCCAGGGCCTTTTCAGCATTCCTCACCCTGCTGCTTTCCTCGGCAGGAAAACTGAGGCCAGTCATCAAATCCCAGCCAGTGCCCAAGAACAACAAGGGTCCGGTCAAGGTCGTGGTGGGGAAGACCTTTGACTCCATCGTGATGGACCCCAAGAAGGACGTCCTCATTGAGTTCTATGCGCCCTGGTGTGGGCACTGCAAGCAGCTGGAGCCCGTGTACACCACCCTGGGCAAGAAGTACAAGAGCCACAAGAATCTGGTCATTGCCAAGATGGATGCCACTGCCAATGATGTCACCAGTGACCGCTACAAAGTTGAGGGCTTCCCCACCATATACTTTGCGCCCAGTGGGGACAAAAAGAACCCAATTAAATTTGAGGACGGAAACAGAGATCTGGAGCATTTGAGCAAGTTTATAGAAGAACATGCCACAAAACAGAGCAGGACCAGGGAAGAGCTGTGAAGGCGCTGAGGTCTGCGGAGAGCGGGAAGGACCAGACACCGTAGCTGCCGGCGGCCGGAGCCGAGCCAGCCGTGCGGCTGATGGGCCAGTAGGGCAGGGGCAGTATCTCGAGTTTTTGTTTTTGGATTAATTTTTTATACTCTGATATTTCACCTCATGCTCTGAATATTGAATAGATATGAATGACTCGGTAGATTAGTCCAGATTTTTACAGAGGATACATCTATTTTTATCATTATTTGAGGTCTGATTTTTTTTAACCTTCCGCTCTCTATTTCGTCAAAGCAGATAAATTGAATCTCATATGTGAATTTTTTTTTTATGTAAAATTTAAAAGAAACACTTGCCCAATCATGTTGATTTTTGCCTTTTATTTTACCGTCTGAGGGATTATTTGTTGAAGATGATGTCATGTTGCTGTGCTTGGTTTTTGTTCCTGCCTGTAGCAGCACAAACTAGGAGCTATCCTCGCACACCCTGCCGAGAATGACATCATCCCCACCTCAGAGCCGCGTCCAGTCAGACAGAAGCAGCTTGTCTGGGCGAGACTGGGTGTCACTGTGCCTTCTTTCAAACCAAGGACCGCAGGGTGAGGAGCGTTTCCTGGGTCCCCCAGACCCTGCAAGCCAGGTTCCAGGCTCAGCCTTGGGAGAGGCCACCCACCTGTGGCCGGCAGCCGCCTCTTCAGTCTCGTTGCTGGAGGAGAGAGGGCACGGGAGGTCATCATTTAGGGTGATAGGTAGGCTGCTGTGATGGAATAAAAACGTTACTGAAAATCAACCTCCCTAACTGTGTTGGAGAATGTCCGCTCCGTCCTGGAGCTTTGGTTGAGGGTGGAGCGGCCCAGCCTGGGTGTGGTGGGGCGGGCTCTCCCTCCTGCCTGACCTGATGCCCCTTCATCCGGGGCGGGGCACTGTGGTCTCAGCTCTTGGGAGGAGGTGAGGCATTCTGTTAGGACTGGGCAGGGATAGACGACAGGGACAGCTCAGAGCACTTCTGGGGGCTGGAGGGGAGGGCCAGGACACAGTGGTTCTGGGGGCTTGTGTATGATGTGAGCTTCAGCCACCAGGCTGTATCCCATCCCTCTCCTCCCCGTCCCTCACTGCTCCTAAACATGACTGAAACAGGTGCCAAGGACAGAAATGCTTGAGCTGGTGTGACAGCTCTTTCGACAGGGATGTGTCTGTTGCAGGGGTTGGGTGCAGGCAGGAAAGCAGGCCTTGGGGAGGGGCAGTCTAGGTGGGCCTTTCCAGACGATCTGGAAACCAAGTTGCCCAAGAATGTCTCAGTGGAGTGAACTCATCTATATTGACTGTAGAAAGTAGGCCCTGAGAAAGAATTTACCCCAGACAGGTTGGGGAGCTGGAAGGAGACAGGCAAGTAAGGTGACTGCAGTCCACTGTGAGCAGTGCCAAGGTGAAGACATGTGGAGCGGTGTGGGGCCTGGAGAGCAGACCCTGGGCCTGATGGAGCCGAGAGAGCAGGAGGTGACCAGCTCCGCAAGTTGGCATAGCGGGTGCATGGGGACAGAGGCGTCAAGCTGCGACGTAAATGTGGAAAGTCCCGTAGAGGGAAGAGGGTGTGAAGGCAGAAAGGTGCTGGCTGAGGCTGGGGAAGGTGGACCAGAGGGTGAGACCTCCTGCAATAAGTCAGGAGTTTGACCTTTATCTTTTAACTCTGGGGAACTGTTGATGGTTTTAAGTAGGGACATGACCAGGTTTAAATTTTAATAATGGAGTGACAGTTAACATTTTATGGCCCACTAAGCAAAAGCTTGACCCTGTGTTCAGTTTTTACAGCGGAAGGTAGGAGAGAGGGAGAGGTTTGCTAGCCCCAGGGCTTGTGCCTGGCCCATGCAGAGCTGGCGGTTGGATGCAGTCCGCCATTCACTGCGCTGTGACGTCTCCCTCACTGGAAAACCACGTCCAGTAGTGGGGAGCCTTAGACAGCTACAGGGCCATGCAAGGAGATGGCTGTGTTCGGAGTAGACATGCTCTAGCAGGCTAAGGAGGCTGAGGGCAAGTTGAGGTGGGTGACAGAACTCGGGTGGTGGCCAGTTTCTGAAGTGGAGTTTTTGTTTAATTATGAAACTTCTCAAGCGTACATAAAAGAGACTAGTATAATCAACATTGTTTACTCATCACCAACTAAAATAGTTAACCACAACTTCACTGCATCGTCTCCCTGTCCATCCTCCCCTTCCCCTTGAAGCATCCAGGACCTGTGGCTTCCCCACTCGCAGTGGAGAATGCATTTCCCACAGAACCACGGCCGAGTCACAGTCACAGCTTGGCAGCTGCCCCTCCAGTGCCAGTCCCTGGCCCCATGTTCCCCGCTGTCCAAGACTAAGACATCTTAATGTTTGGGTCCTTGGCAACTGATGGCGGCACTTGCTTTTGTCTCAGCCTCGTCTACAGCAGTTCCTGTACCTGTTTTCCCCACAGCTTCCACTGTAGAAGTGGTGAAGGGATGGATCAGATCATTCGAGTTGTGTTCTCTACAAGTTTGGGGAGTGTTTAATTGTCACTGTCTCATTGGCATGTTGGGGAGATGAGGTGTATAGAAACCCCAGGGGATCTGGACGTGGAAGCTACCAAATCCTAAAGACTGATGGCACATACCCCTGACTCAGGCCTGCCAGGTGTTGGGCCTGGCATGTGTTGTTACTGGAGCCCTAATCCCCCCTCATTCACTCTTGGCTGCATGACTTGGGGCAGACGGCAGCATATCTTCCAGCTGCAGGGTAAAGAGCCAGCCTTCTTTGCAGGGTGCTCATAAGGATCCCGTGCAGTAACGTGTGGCAGGAGATGGGGAGAGGGGTGATTAGTCTCTGGGCATCACCAGTGGGGCGGCTGTTTCTGCAGGGCACATGGAGCCACTGAGTCCCGGGCTTGAAGCCCTGGTTAAAGAAGACACTCCTCTTCTAGGTGGTTGTCTTCTAGTCGGGTACTTGCCAAGGTAATGATGGGATGCCTAGTGCATGAAGAGGGAACTGGAGCACAGAACACTGGACACCAACTGGAAGCTCTGCAGAGTCCTGAAATGCCTGATTTGAGGCCTTTCCCCTTGATGTTGGAACAGTCATCTGTCTGTCACTCCTGCTTGTTCTGATGGGCCCAGTGGGGCCACTGACCTAGCATTGTGCAGACACAAAGTAGACCCCAAATGGAGGGTTCCTGGACCCCACTTCCTGCCTGCTCAGATCCAGCAGGGTGGTACTTGGCATCTACTTTCAGAGGCTCTCAAATGCTATCACATTTTGCCTGAAGTGTAGGCAGGACAGGTGTTAGGACTTCCATTGTGTAGCAAGGGAAATGGACGCCAGAGGTCAAATTGTTTGCCCACAGCCACAAGGCCAGTAAGCTGAGAAGCCAGAACTAGAACCGGCACCAGTGTTTCCCGAGATGTGTTGGCCAAAGACTTCTGAAGGAGATAAATAAATGCTCTGTTAAATTACTGGATTCTATTGGAAACTGGGGTGGAAAATAGCTGGACTAAGAAAGATGCTTAAATGGGTTCTTGTTGAAGCTTTCAGAGCCAGTAAGGCATTAGTGTGCAGGGTCACTGGCTGCCTTACGACAAAGTGCACAGATCCACGAGCTGCAGGGACCCACTGTCCTAGTGCCAGCCTGCCAGCCCCAGTGTATACTGTGAGAACACAGCCCTCGGCTCCTTCCACACCTTCCCCTCCCCCTGTCAGCTGGGGCCAACCCTAGGGTGAAGGGTGGTGTGGGCCAGGAAGTGCTCCAGGGGCCCAGGGACAAACTTGACCCTGAGCCCATCACAGTGAACTGTCAACAGCAAGTTACAGGTGTAGCTCATGCTTTCCAAAGATCCTATCATCTGGGGTGAAGGGATTCAACCCTGAGAAGGCACGTTTCTGTAGTGCCTGGGTTCCAATTATAATGCATTGGGTATATAGAATGCACTCCAGGGCAAAGCACACTTCCTACTCAAGTTCATTTTGCCCACCCACAGGACAGCTGGCCTGCCAAGCACGAGCCTAGGGAAAGCTAAAGACATGCGGGAGACCCCCCAGGGCTGAGCACATAGCTTGAATGAACTGATGGAGAACTGGAGATGTGTGGACCCCAGGTCCTTGGGTTGACAAGGTGTGAGGGCCTGGCAGGGAAGGGGTTCTGGGGCCCCTCATCCCCCTGGCACAGAGCCCCTCTCAGCCACCACAGCCCACTCTCCACTCTTCACTCGGATCGGCCTCCACAGAATGAGCCCAGTTCTGTAAGAACCCACCTTAGATTACGGAGATACCGTGGCAGGGGGAGGACAAAGGATCACTTGTTAGCGAAGTGGAGAAGGGGGCCTTTGAGAAAGCAGTGGCTGTTACTTGGAGAAGGAATCATGCAGGAAAGGAGCCCTGTATTCTTTTATCTTCTGTATAAAAAGAAAGCATGAGCTCAGCTTAGGTTGGATTGAGAACCGATGCCTCAATCAGTGGGCTGATAGGAATCATGGATCCTCCCTCTCCCTGGGATTCTGCTACAAAATCATCCTGCCCAGAAATCATGGACAACGGGTTGGCTGAAGACTTGAGAAACCTTCAGGATCAGAGGTTGGAAACCAGTGTTCAAGGAAACTAGCAGGTAAGTTAAGTGCATGCAGGGGCTGGAGGCAGGCGATAGGAAGTGGTGGTGACCAGGGCACACTCAAGCTTCTGTGTCCCACCTGAAGGGGGCACTTGTTGCCTGTGGGAATCTGGGCCTGCTGTTGAATGTTTTAAGAAAAAACATTTTAATGTGAAATCCCCTAATATTAAAATATCAGATCTAATTCAGGTTGTAAGGTTACTGTGTGGGCCAAAGAAAAGGCATCTGAGGGATGGATTGGGTTAGAAACTGCAGACTGAAGTAAAACGCCTCTTTTTTTCTGATTGTTTTATAATCACAATAAATAAACTAGCACAGAGGATGCCCCGAATGTAACAAAGACCCAAACACTGAGTTCCTTTAGAAAAGTTTGCAGTTTCAGTCTGGTGCTGGGATTTGGGCTGAGCCGGGTTGTTTGGGTGGATTGCAGTGTGTGTGCTGCACGCACATCTGAACACAAGAAGGGCCAGCTGGCCTGACAGAAGCACTCCATTCCGTGGGTCACCTCGACGCAGTGCCCAGTGGAGCTGTTTGTTAAAGTCTTTCCTGTTTCTCTGGCCCTCTGGGGCGCACCCACAGACACCTGCAATGCACCATGTTTTGCATGACTGCCTTGGGTCACCCCAAGGCTAATTTGGGATGTAGAAGCAAGCAACAGTTCCTTGGCAACTCTAGCTCACCTACCAAAGTCTTGACACTTCTAACTCCCTCCTTCTTAGGAAACTGAGGCCCGGAGAAGAGACAGGCTTGCCCAAAGTCACAGGGCTGGTGCAGGGCACTTCCAGCGATTCAGAATGCAGAGGGCTGGAAGCTGCAGTCAGTTGTGTTCTGTCTCATTGCCATGTGAATTCAGGGCTCTTCCTCACTGCCGAGCTGGCGCAGGGCATGGCCCCTGCTGTCCCCTTTGCTGCCACCAGCCTAGTCCAGCCCCCGCATGGCCCTGCGGTTGTGAATCTGATCACACACCAAAGCGTGTCTCGTCCCCTTTGCCTCCCCCTCCCCTGGGTTTGAGGACCACAGGAATGGAGAGGGAGCCATGTCATTTCCAGAAAGGGCATGTGTACAATACACACTTTCACATAGGCAGAGGAAGGTGGGCTCTTCGGAACCGCTTTGAGAAAATTGCCGAGTGAGGCAGTATGGCGTCAGCAGGGCCAGACTGGAGTGAGGCAACGT